TAGTCCACGAGTTTGAAGATTCCAAGAAATTCTCTTGGGAATCATGGTGTTTGAATGAAAATGATTACATTAAACCAAAAGACTTTCATCTTTAGGAGATGAACGTAAAGTATCAATATTGAGCTGAGTATTCATGAGTTTGTAATATATCCTGTATATTACAGCAAAAGTATTTGAACGATCATCAAAATCGAGATTTTTTATTTGAATATGGAGATTTAGAGCATTAAGAATAGCTCCATCATTAAGATTGATTGAAAATTTTGGATAACAATTTGAATAATTGGACCACTTTCTAGATTTAACTCTAGAACATATAATAATAAATTTACAAATTTAAGAAGTCTCTTATCTCGAAGAGTTAAGAGAATTGGAATGTCTAACCCAAGTGTAAACAAAGGTTTAACAGCAATTTGAACTAATCCAACATGAAGATATTTAAATTTCTTCTTGTAGGATTCAATTGATTCTTTTGAAAATAAATTGATGCGTGCATTTTGATTTTTGATTGATAATGCTTGTTCAAAAGTTTTGATAACATAATTTTGAGTAAAATCAAACTTTTGTATTTTATAGATAGAATTCTTTTATACTTTTGGAATAATCCAATTATGCAATCTTTGTTCAATTTGAGCAATTTGAAGTTCATGACTACTGAAATCATTTAATGCATATGATATAGATATTTGATCAATTTCTTCTTCACTTTGAAAAATATTTGAAATATTTTCAAATATATTTCTAGACCTCTGAAACCAAGTTAAAAAAAAAAGAACATAATTAAATTCAATGAAATTATAACAATTTACCACTATAAAAACAATTAAAAAAGATAGATTGATTCTTACCAAGTCTACAAACGGGACCACCCTAACACGCCTTCCTCGGCTAACAACGGGCTGACCAACGTCTATTCAGCATACATCCCAAAATCAAATCAGGTTCTCCTATTTGAACAGTGCCTATAGTGATAAACTACTATAACCTTCAAGAATTTAAAAAAATTGATATTTGGTTAAACCATCTATATTCCCGATAGTTATACCGCTTCCAATAAATTTTTGAAAATTGATTTTTTTTCTTTGAAGTTTATTGATTTGAGGAATTTCATCATCAATAAATTAAGATTCAATATCGTCAATAGTATTGATGTTATTTGAAGTAGAAGATGATGATATTTTTTATAACTAAGTAGCAAGTTCTTTCAGAACATTAATCTTAGTTTTAAGACCATTTTTAGGTTAGTCTCATGCTTGTTTATTAAGCCTATTGAGCCAGTTTCAAGCCTATAAAAGGTATTAAGCCTATTGAGCTAGTTTTAATAAACATGCATGAGGCTAAACCTAAAAATGGTCTTAAAATTGGGATTAATGTTCTGAAAAAACTTGCTACTCAATTATCAAAAATATCATCATCTTCTACTTCAAATAACATCAATACTATTGACGATATTGAATCTCAATTTATTGATGATGAAATTCCTCAAAATCAATAAACTTCAAAGCAAAAAAAAAAATCAAATTTCAAAAATTTCTCCTTATTATCCAAAAAATACTCCTCCTGATTTACTTTTCGAACAAAAGGCTAAAATACCTACAAAATTAATTGGAAGCGATATAACTATCTGGAATATAGATGGTTTAACCGATATCAAATTTTTGAAATTCTTGAAGGCTGTAGTAGTTTATCACTATAGGCACTATTCAAATAAGAGAATCTGATTTGATTTCGAGATATTTGCTGAATAGACGTTGGCCAGCTCGTTGTTCACCGAGGAAGGCGTGTTAGGATGATCCCGTTTGTAGGCTTGGTAAGCATCAATCTATCTTATTTAACTGTTTTTACAGTGGTAAATTGTTATAATTTCATTGAATTTAATTATATACTTTTTTTCAACTTGGTTTCAGAGATTTAGAAATAGATCTGAAAATACTTCAAATATTTTTCAAAGTGAAGAAGAAATTGATCAAACATATGCATCATATGCATAAAATGATTTTAATAGTCATGAACTTCAAATTGCTCAACTGAACAAAGATTGCATAACTGGACTAGTCGGATCTAGAAGAATAAGATCTTTGAAACCTAGAGGAAGATCATTTAAAAATCATTTTGACGTTTCTATTAGGAAAAATAAGAATTTGATTAGGAATTGTTTGAATAGAAGCAGGAATAGGATTTTGAACATGTTCAAATTTTCAATAGAGTCAAGTCAAGGACAGTTGGTTAGGTTCCATAGTGGTGTATGGACTGGCCCTCAAAAGAATTATTCTACTATCAAAAAAGAAATTTTATCAATAGTTTTATGTATTTCAAAATTTCAAAATGATTTAATTAATAAAGAATTTATTCTCAAAACTAATTACAAAGTATCAAAAGATGTTTTACAAAAAGATGTGAAAAATCTTGTTTCAAAACAAATCTTTGCTAGATGGCAAGCTATTTTTCTTGTTTTGATTTCAAAATACTATATATAGGAAAAATCAAATTACTTGGTATACTTTTTTACGAGAGAATTTATACAATCTTGAGAGAATTGAGTGTGTGATGAAATTCTCAAAAGTTGAAGGAAAAAAGAATAAGAAAGTTAATATTCCTCTTCTTTCAATTGAAGATTATATTTCAAATTCGTATGCACGTTCCTCCTCTCAAAATAAGACCATTGCTTCAAAATTAGCTCCTCATCCATATGAAGTCTATGAGTCAAAAATTACCAATTTCAAAAAAGCTGTTCAAACAGGTATTGGAAAATTTCCAGAAATCAACCCTTCAACCAATTTCAAATATTTTACCAAAAATGTTCAATATCCAATTCTTGAAATGGAAAGTTCATGGCAAAAATATTCTTCTCTTGAAGTTTGTCCTTCGAATATTTTTGCATCTAACTTCATTACCTACCAAACAATATAAAAAAGAATCGTGATTTCTATGAAGCTATTCTCACAAAAACAAAATTAGCCATTATTACTCACACTCCAAAAGATTCCAAAGATCTAAATTTTTCAAAAATTTCAATTCTTAAAGTTTGGTCTTATGAAGACCGGGGATAGAACCTTGGGAAGAAAAACGTATGAATTTACCTAATGGTAAATTTGAACATTTTTATTATCTTGATTACAAGACTGCCTGGTTCATTGTATTCTTTATTAGACCAGTAACTCATTTATGGTTTATTTTGTTCCATCAATCTTGTAATCCTGTTTTTTCAAAATGGTTTCAAACTTGATTTATATACTTTGGCCTTGAGGAAAATATTTTGTCCAGTCTCACTCACCAAAGTTATGAATGCTTCAAAAGGGAGGCAAAATCTTTTTTGTAGCCTCAAGAAAATCCTTTATTACAATTTGCTCAAAATTTCAAAGTATCCTGGATATTTTGTTGGGATTTCTTACTTCTCCAAGCTGAACAAGAATATGTTGTCAAAAAGATTGTTCGCATATTCAAAATAAAATGGTGGTCAAAATTCCAAAACAAATTGTTGTTCCAAGGCAGTAAATTCATGGATTCAATAACAAAGAAATTTGGAAATACCAAAATTCTCAAAGAAAGATCAAGAAAAACAAGCTGATTTTCTAACTAAAAATTTAGATTATTAGCTATGTTATTTCAATTCAAAACTCCAAAAGAATTAACGGCAATTTCAGAAAAAATTGTCAATCTTGCTGAATTTTTTTTCAAAAAGAACTAAATCAGATGCTGATTCAAATTACTCTCAAAGTATAGACAATGGTGATGACTGCTATGGGATTGATACTGATGATCTCTTAGCTCAAGAAAAATAAAAATGACTACATGGACCTAGTTATTTTGATAAATTATATTTATATACGGCCCAAAAATCAAAAAATATTATGTTCAAAATGTGTCTACCGCCTAATAAATTATTTCTTCCAGCTTTACCAACTTTTAAGAAATAAAGTTGGAATTATCACGGTGGTATCAAATGGTGACTTAAAGTTGATATCAATTTTTCAAAGTGGGAAATAAAGAAAAGATTATTGAAGACTTTTCTTGTGGTTGAATGAATTTTGCAAATGGACGGTTTAAAAGTTAAAAAAAAAAAACCATAATTCAATATTCCTTCTTCAAATTGAAGAAATTTTCAAGTTCGGAGCTCAAAATTTCAAAAATAAAAGCAGATCAAGGGTTCAAGATTTCCTCAGAGTTGATTTAACAGGAGATAAATCATTCTCAAGATGTTTAAGAAATCCTTGTATTGTTTTATTGTCTGTATTTTTCAATCTTTATCTTTCAATCGTGTAATTCCAAGTTCATTTCGATATTTGTATTTCAATTTTCAATTATCAATAAAATTATCTTCATTTTAAAACATTTTGTCCATTTTCACTTCTACTCTTCTCCACCTGGGCCATATATATATACTCATTGTAATAATCGTCCAACGTAACATACATATGATAAATAGTGATTTAACCCATGTTTGGCTCTCATTAAATTACATTATATTATATTCTATTTTTCTCTATCCTATTTTCAATATATATATAGCCCTTGTTTGATTTTCATTAAATTACATTACATTACATTCTATTTTTCTCTCTCCTATTTTCAACCACACAATCTTCTATAAAATAATATTACACGTAAATCGAAAATTTTTCTTTCTTTTTCAACCACTCATTTTTCAAAAAACACTATTTTATACATTAAATTTTCCCCGTAATGAGGGCCAAACAGGGGCATATACTCATTGTAATAATCGTCCAACGTAACATACATACGATAAATAGTGATTTAACCCATGTTTGGTTCTCATTAAATTACATTATATTACATTCTATTTTTCTTTCTCTTATTTTCAACCACACAATCTTCCATAAAATAATATTATAAGTAAATCGAAAAATTTTCCTTCTTTTTCAATTACTCATTTTTTCAATAAAATACTATTCTTCTCATTTTCATTACAAAAAATGAGGGTCAAATGGGGCTAAATATATGAAATAAAGAACTAACGCGTTAATACATGAAATCACACTTCGGTATGGAGCGAGCGAGCGACTACGCTCTTTTAATGAAAGCCAGGCTAATGAAGTGCGAGGTGGCAAAATATCTTCTTCAATTCCACCCCTAACACCGTAGGCCACCTCCGACGCTGTCACCTGAGCTGGAAACCAAAATTAGGCGATGCTTCAAGTGTGTTTGCGGTGAAAATTCTGATGGCAGTTGCAGGATTCTGCCAGAGAGCAAAAGTGGGGCAGTGCAGAGAGTAGACCAGGACGCCAGCGGAAGGACCAGCTGCAAGCCTGGATTTCTAACCGGCACCACAGTCAAATTTTGATTCCAGGGAATTGCAAAATGTTCTTCAAAAGGTTACAATCAACCACTACAACACACGTATCACTATACCTTTACTCTCCAATGTCTATGTTTCCATTTTCAACCCTAGAAATTCCGTCAAATTATATTTCCAACCAACAATCAGAAACCCATATTAAAAATCCCAATAACATCGATGAATCCTGTATACTGAATCAGCTCTCAGATATTTTACCAATCAACCGAGATCCATTAATTTTCCAGCCAATTACCGGAAGTTTACCGGACAAACATTTAGAAATTAGGGCCGTCGATGATTTTTTAGCTCCTGAAGAGAAATTACGGGGAATTTTTCTGCATAAACTTCGAAGTAAGACTGCAATTAGAAACGCATTAAGCAGTGTTGGCGTGGAAGTAAGCATGGACGTTTTCTCAGAAGTAGTGAATAGAGGGAATTTGTGTGGTGAGGCGATGGTAATGTTCTTTGATTGGGCTATCGAGCAGCCTAATATACCTAACGATATATGTACTTATCATATAATTCTTAAAGCATTAGGCAGGAGAAAATTTTTTATGTATATGATGGAAATATTAAATGATATGAGAGCTAAGGAAGTGAACCCTAATCCCAAAACCCTTTTCATTGTTCTGGATAGTTATGTTCGTGCTCGACAAGTTTCTAAAGCTATTAAAATTTTCGGGGAACTGGAGAAATATGGTTTAAAAGTTAATGTGGAGACGTTGAATGTTATTTTGCAGTGCTTATGTCAACGATCATTTGTGGGCACTGCAAGTTCACTATTTAACAGAATGAAAGAGAAAGTACAAGCTGACAGCGAGACTTATAATATTATCATAGGTGGGTGGTCCAAGTTTGGCAGAGTTAGTGAAGTTGAGAAATTCTTGAAAGTTATGGTGAACGATGGAGTTGAGCATGATTGTGTAACTTACAGTTATATTCTTGAGGGTTTGGGGAGATCTGGTCGTGTTGATAACGCTGTTAAGATCTTTGAGTACTTTGAGGAGAAACGAACTATGCTAAGTACTGGGGTTTATAATGCAATGGTTTTTAATTTTATTGCTGTTGGAGATATTGATGAAGGCTTGAAATATTATAAGCGGATGTTGAGTAATAATTATGAGCCAAATATGGATACTTATGCTAGAATAATAGCTGCATTTCTTAAAGTTAAAAGAGTTTCAGACGCTATCGAACTGTTTGATGAAATGCTAGCTCGAGGGATCATTCCTACAGCAGGTACTCTCACCACGTTCATTGAACCTTTGTGTGGCTATGGTCCGCCTCATGCTGCCTTGATGATATATAATAAGGCAAGAAAAGTTGGATGCAGAATATCACTGACTGCCTATAAGCTCTTGCTTATGCGGTTATCTAGGTTTGGGAAGTGTGGGATGCTGCTGAATATATGGGAGGAGATGCAAGAAAGTGGCTATTCTTGTGATATGCAGGCTTATGAGTATGTTATCAATGGCCTCTGTAACACGGGGCAGCTTGAAACTGCTGTCCTAGTCATGGAGGAATCTCTGCACAAGGGATTTTTCCCTAGCAAGCTTATTTGTAGCAAACTGAATAATAAACTGCTGGCTTCAAATAAAGTAGAAATAGCATATAAGCTTTTCCTGAAGTTAAAGAATGCTCGTGTCAATGAAAATGCACAAAGATATTGGCGGGCTAAAGGGTGGCACTTTTGATCTTTTGCATCTGTAGGTTGGTGATGGCAGCTGTTTCAGGTAATATTTATCTGGATTCTTATTGAATAAGAAGGATCATCTTTCTTCAAGTTCTATGGTCCACACGGAAGCTTAGATATAACAATTGAACCACAACTACTGACTATCAGACGAAGGCACTAGTCTCTCAAGCTTGCTGCTTTACTATAAGCACGATTCGGAGATCTTGGGTTCATGGCTATCTGACCCTCTTCTGCTTAGTTACATTTATCCTGATGATCAGGTATTTAACACAGTCAATATTGTTCGATGCCAAAAATTGTTTCGTTAGCAGCATTGAATTGTTCTGCTTTTCCAACTGCATGACTTATTTTATTGACTGCAGCTACCTGGTAGCGTAGGAAAAGAATGTGCCTGAGTTTTATGATGATTAAGTTCAGAATTGCTGTTGCAAGAAATGGATTTAATTACATACCTGATGGCCTTTCACTGAAGTTACCAAGATATCATCAAAAGGGTCAGGGCATCAAAAGGGTCAGGGCATGTATTTTCTGTGCATCATTTATTGTGCCTTTGTTGTTTTCTAATGCTTTATTGACTCTTTGTGTAATTAAATTTTCAAGTTAATGTAGTGGTCTACACAATATACTGGCCCCGATTGAATGCTGTTCTGTGCTTCGCAGATGCAGTATTGTTTGAAAATTAAATAAAAGATGTCATTCCTTGTGTTTTAGATATGTGCCAGGAAGTGCTTAATGGAGCATCATGTATCTTCAGTGGATATCATTTTCACCACTGGAAATGCTGGGATCATCTCATTGGGCAGGCTCCAGTTATGCTTCCATAAGAATTTAAAGATCAGGAAATTACTTGAACAGTTGAACCCTTTCTAATTTTTTATGTATATGATGGAAATATTAAATGATATGAGAGCTAAGGAAGTGAACCCTAATCCCAAAACCCTTTTCATTGTTCTGGATAGTTATGTTCGTGCTCGACAAGTTTCTAAAGCTATTAAAATTTTCGGGGAACTGGAGAAATATGGTTTAAAAGTTAATGTGGAGACGTTGAATGTTATTTTGCAGTGCTTATGTCAACGATCATTTGTGGGCACTGCAAGTTCACTATTTAACAGAATGAAAGAGAAAGTACAACCTGACAGCGAGACTTATAATATTATCATAGGTGGGTGGTCCAAGTTTGGCAGAGTTAGTGAAGTTGAGAAATTCTTGAAAGTTATGGTGAACGATGGAGTTGAGCATGATTGTGTAACTTACAGTTATATTCTTGAGGGTTTGGGGAGATCTGGTCGTGTTGATAACGCTGTTAAGATCTTTGAGTACTTTGAGGAGAAACGAACTATGCTAAGTACTGGGGTTTATAATGCAATGGTTTTTAATTTTATTGCTGTTGGAGATATTGATGAAGGCTTGAAATATTATAAGCGGATGTTGAGTAATAATTATGAGCCAAATATGGATACTTATGCTAGAATAATAGCTGCATTTCTTAAAGTTAAAAGAGTTTCAGACGCTATCGAACTGTTTGATGAAATGCTAGCTCGAGGGATCATTCCTACAGCAGGTACTCTCACCACGTTCATTGAACCTTTGTGTGGCTATGGTCCGCCTCATGCTGCCTTGATGATATATAATAAGGCAAGAAAAGTTGGATGCAGAATATCACTGACTGCCTATAAGCTCTTGCTTATGCGGTTATCTAGGTTTGGGAAGTGTGGGATGCTGCTGAATATATGGGAGGAGATGCAAGAAAGTGGCTATTCTTGTGATATGCAGGCTTATGAGTATGTTATCAATGGCCTCTGTAACACGGGGCAGCTTGAAACTGCTGTCCTAGTCATGGAGGAATCTCTGCACAAGGGATTTTTCCCTAGCAAGCTTATTTGTAGCAAACTGAATAATAAACTGCTGGCTTCAAATAAAGTAGAAATAGCATATAAGCTTTTCCTGAAGTTAAAGAACGCTCGTGTCAATGAAAATGCACAAAGATATTGGCGGGCTAAAGGGTGGCACTTTTGATCTTTTGCATCTGTAGGTTGGTGATGGCAGCTGTTTCAGGTAATATTTATCTGGATTCTTATTGAATAAGAAGGATCATCTTTCTTCAAGTTCTATGGTCCACACGGAAGCTTAGATATAACAATTGAACCACAACTACTGACTATCAGACGAAGGCACTAGTCTCTCAAGCTTGCTGCTTTACTATAAGCACGATTCGGAGATCTTGGGTTCATGGCTATCTGACCCTCTTCTGCTTAGTTACATTTATCCTGATGATCAGGTATTTAACACAGTCAATATTGTTCGATGCCAAAAATTGTTTCGTTAGCAGCATTGAATTGTTCTGCTTTTCCAACTGCATGACTTATTTTATTGACTGCAGCTACCTGGTAGCGTAGGAAAAGAATGTGCCTGAGTTTTATGATGATTAAGTTCAGAATTGCTGTTGCAAGAAATGGATTTAATTACATACCTGATGGCCTTTCACTGAAGTTACCAAGATATCATCAAAAGGGTCAGGGCATCAAAAGGGTCAGGGCATGTATTTTCTGTGCATCATTTATTGTGCCTTTGTTGTTTTCTAATGCTTTATTGACTCTTTGTGTAATTAAATTTTCAAGTTAATGTAGTGGTCTACACAATATACTGGCCCCGATTGAATGCTGTTCTGTGCTTCGCAGATGCAGTATTGTTTGAAAATTAAATAAAAGATATCATTCCTTGTGTTTTAGATATGTGCCAGGAAGTGCTTAATGGAGCATCATGTATCTTCAGTGGATATCATTTTCACCACTGGAAATGCTGGGATCATCTCATTGGGCAGGCTCCAGTTATGCTTCCATAAGAATTTAAAGATCAGGAAATTACTTGAACAGTTGAACCCTTTCTGTTTGAAACTCGAATTTGAAAACTTTGTCACTGCATTTTTACAAGGACTTGATTATTAGGTTGTTATTTTGTTTTGTCCATTTGTTTCTTAAATTCCACCAATAGGTTCACCGATTGATTGATATGATCAGGTGAATAATACTGACAAATAATCATAATATGAGGTAAGTGAATTCCTTGGCAATTAAAGAAATCTAGAGGACAGAGATATTTCATTAGTCATTTAACTGGACTGCCTTGAATATTTTCTGATGTTTTGACAAACTTCATAATTTGCACGATTTATTTAGTCACTTACAGTACATATAATTTCTTTTTGATATTAAATTCTTTACTTTTGCTAAATAGACTCTAATTCATGGCTTAAATGAATCCATAACTCACTGTGATTTTCTTAAATCTTAGCTTGCCTTTGTGATGTTATTGAGCAAGTGTGTGTTCATTTTGTATTAACCTCCTCCACATCTAATATGAGATATGAGATGGTCTGGATCAGTGAAAAGTCTGAATCGATGATTTTATCAAATCAGCACATGCATTTTAAAGTTGAAACTAAATTTTCTTTCTCTATGCCGTCATGAACAGTACTCAAGCTAGAAACATCCCAATTGATTTTGGTGCTATGCAAGACCGGTTTAAACAAGTGAGTTGCCCAGAAGATGAAATAACTCTCTATTGAACTAATGTACTTCTTTAGTCTCAGGTTCTTCACTTTAATATTCATGAACGGCTTCATGGCATGAATAGAGGAGATGCCGAGGTTTTATTTTCCTTGAAAGTTAAACTGACTGTTATGAATTTTGTGGGTTCGATTCAGATGGTCAATGGTTCAGATAACGCATGTTTACAACCATAACTTGATGGGCCAACTTTAGCTTCCTCGGATTATGGTTTAAATGATGAGAGTCTTGAGAAGTAATCTGGTTGTATTACTGGTACTATGGTTATGGGAGGAGACGAGGCTGTGAAGTATGTATTCCTTGTCACTCTTATGTTCAATCACATCGAGAGGAAAGGCATACCATATTGTGCAACGCTGACATCCAAAACTACAACATGCTCAAATAGACAGAATAGACATCAAAATAAAATGCAATTTGCAGAAACAAAAGGTTTGGTGCTCTGAATTTCAGATATACAAATTAATATATAGGTTATGAGGCAAACACATCTGAGCTTTTGTGGATTTCACTCCAAACGTTTTACTTGATATAATTTAAGTGTCAAGCAAATATTTACTAATGGATGATGTTGATCGGTCGTTTAAGTCTAACTTGCATCTCCAAGTCTTTACTACCTCGCTAAGCATTAGTCCCCTGTAGTAAGTTTCCGTTGGACTCTCTTTATTTTGAAATTATTTATTAGTCATACTCATTTTTATTTAAACATTCGCACAATAAATATTTTGCATATAAACTAAATTTTTTTCTATTATTTAACAACGCATTCTTAAAAAATCACAATTCAAAATTTCATTTTTCCAAATTTCTTTTCTTAACAGGGGCTAAATAACATATAATTAGGCCTAGATGCCTCTACATTATCAATTGTCAAAAAAAATTGTCCCTTTTTAAAAATGTGCTAAAAAATGTCTTATTTTGAATGCAAATTGTCCACAATACCCTTGTAATTACCTTTTTGAGGTGCATTTAATGTTAATTAATGTCATGATTTGATAATTGACACATGTAAGAAAATCCTACGTTTAATTCTATTATATATGGATTATGCTAGTCTGTCAAGGTCATTTGCACAGACTCTAACCAGACTAAGAGAGTGTAGATTTTTTTGTCTTTAAAAAAAATGGGTGTGAGCTCCCTTGTTTAAGAGATAGTCTGGCCACAAATGACCCTGGCAAACTATCATTTTCCATTATATATTATCTAATAGAAGTGTTAATAAATAAATAAAATTATTTCATAATCTTTTGTTATGTGGATGAATGATAATTAGTCTAAAAAAAACACAAATATTTGTAGCGTTTTTCATTGATTCATCTTTAAGTTTCAGAGGTTAGTATTTATACATTGTTTAATGTTTTTATCTTACAACTTACTAATGTGGAATTGCTAAATACAACCCTTCATAATTATTTGCAATTTTTTTATCCAACCACTTTGATTGTTTTTGCAATTTTTTTAAAATGACAATATTCTCTATAAAAACTTGTTGGAGATTCCCTATTTAATGAAGCATTGTTTAAGTAATTTACGAAGTTTTTATCATATGGTAGTTGAGTATTGATGAATATATTTAATACTATAATAATTGTAGTCCAATCATACCCATTAAGGCTTCGTTGGGTACCCATTTTTTTCTCTTTCTTCTTTTCAACCACACGTTCTTTATTAAAATAATATTACACGTAAATAAAAAAAAATTTCATATTTTTCAACTGCACATTTTTCATTAATTTACTATTCAAAAATACATTTTTACATAAAAATGTCTCCCAAACACCCTATAATTGATTTCCATCAGATGCCAACCGTAAATATAGATAGTTCAATTGTTGAATTGAACGGTATAGATCGACAGTTAAATGTCAAACTCGATAGGTAGTAAATGTCCGGAATGACAGATAAACTGTCGATTTCATTCGTTTGTTACCGTTTTGTATAATTTATTCGTAGTTGCCACTTGTATGTTATTAAAATTCTATTTAGTATAGTGTTGAATGGTTATGATTGGTATCTCAAATTTTTAGGCATGAGTAGAAATCCGAGATTCATTGTTTTGCATGGGGGTGAATTTGTCCATGTATATGATGAATGGAAGTGACAAGGAAACAAGATCATTTCAATCATAGTTCCAAGTGGATGATGAATGTACGTGAAACATTATATAGTCAAACGTGTCATCTTGTAAATTATTATTCATTCATTAGGTTTGAATTTGTATATAATCTTGAATGAATGAAATGTTCCCCATAAAATCTGGAGTTTTTGTCATTTCGTAGTTAAGCATTGATGAACACAATTAATACTATGAAGAATGTATTCCACTTACAATTCTTAAATGATATAGCAGACTGTAAAAATTGATAGTTAAAAATGTTTTAAAAAAATGTATTGGAATTTGATAGATGAAATGTCGAGCTCGACATTTCAACTGTTGTATTCACCTGTTTGCTATTGTTTGGTATAATTTATTCGTCAGTGTCAATTGCATATTAATAAACTCTAATGTTATGATTGTCTTGAATGTTTTGCTATCTCAATATTTTAAGTATGACTAATAATCTGAGATTCATTCTGTCGAACAGGAAAAATCTAGTGCATGTAGATGATGAGTGAAAGTGAGAGAGAACAAAATCACTATACTCTTAGTTCCAAGTGATATCACTGTAGCAGGACTTGTGTTACGATTGATTGAAAAGCTTCGTATTCATGATCCATCTACTAAAATCGAATTGAAGTTCAAAGTTCTGAATATGAATATACCTCCAGTCAAAATATGCGAAGATGAAGCTCAATGATGGAATCGGGCTTTAATTTCTATTTTGTACATGACAATAACAACTTTCGTTGTTTATATTGTATTATTATTTTACTTTTACTATCGTTGTGCTTCAGATTAATTACAAACACAACTACAACAATGCAAAACATAATATTTCATTTACTAACAGTTGTTAAATTGTCGGCACTAACAAATAAGCTCTCAAATTTTCAACAGTTGTATGTTGGTAAATTTTACACAAAACAAAATAATCAGGCATAACGGTTGGTACCAAACTAGACAATATGACGGGTATACAATCATTGCGTGGATACAATAGTCATAACAAGATGATCGATTAATATAAATGAATCACTAACTTGATTCAAATTTATTTATTGGATTTCCATATCATACAACTTTTCAGCACTTCAAGTGAGGGATGGTCATTATATCATACAGGACGTGATGTGATCCAGGACATGCAAGCGTTGAAGTCAAGTCCAACGTCAAGCCCGAAGAAAAATCCATTGATAGTCGACAGTGGACCGATGATGCAATCGAGGATAAAGCGAGGGAAAGAGGCATTGGGATTGCTTGTCAAGGTAACCGTTGATGAAACCATGATCGGGATTCAAAATGGAGCAAGTTTCATATTGGGATCGAAGGCCAAAGAAGTTTGGATCAATGTGTTAAAACTGAACAAAAACGAAGCCGAAGTGAAGAACCATGCGACCGCATAGTTCTCCACCTCTTGCGGTCACACAGATAGGGGCAGGGCGTCAATCGACTAAACTTGATTGTTCCATGCGGCCGCATGGAATTGAACCATGCCACCGCATGGGTCTATTTCGGGGAGGATTCTTTCAAATTTCGTGAATTTTCCTTTTAGAATTTATTTCTTTCCATAATTTTAGCATATTTTGGAGAATATGCACGTTTTTATCATATCTTAGGATTTTAGTATAAATACTCATTATTATTCATTGTATTGCAACTTTTTGGTATTATTATTATTGAGAGACTTTTATTGTTTTCTTCATGTGTTCTTCAATTGGACAATCTATGAACTTATCAGGATTTAAATCTTGTGGCATTCAAATCATCCGGGTGAAATTCACATATTTTTGCTTAATCAAGAGTTCAAATTAGGACGGTCGATTAAATTGAAAAAAAAAAAAGACAAGTCCGTGTAATTTTTTGTACTTGGGCTGAATATACCTAAACTCGACCATGATTATAATACACAACTAGTAACAGTTACAAAATCAAGCTATACAACTGGCTAAACAATTATATTTTCGTATACTACACAAATATTAAAATAAGTTACACAACATTTTCCATGATCAAAGTACAAAGATTATATACTTAAGTTTCATAACCCGAACAGGTCCACTATTCTTAACCTTTCAAAAATGGACGACATCGTTTTCCGTTAAACAAATTTCAATTATTTCATATTGTCCTCTCTTTTTACTGCTCCTAATGTATGGAGTTCGATTCAAAGTAGACGATACTCAAATTTGCATCGAGCGTTGCTTCTTTGTCACCACCACTTCTTCATTTTCAATTGGATTGATAGCATTTGAGGGCACCTCTGATGCAACTCTTTTACAAGAAGACGGCATCGATGTACCCTTCAGGCACTCCTCCAATGACATCATAATTTGTCAATCCATTCAAAAACCAGTAACATGAACAAATACCAAAGGTCAAGTGATGATATGTAATACATTTACTTCGTAACATACGTAGAAGAGCAAATGAAACAAGTTTGACATTATATCATAACTGTCCAGAAACAATAACCGTCTAGAATTTCACATCATAATTGTCAAGAATCATAGTCTATCTTGATTCTCGACAGATGGGTTCCATAAGAACTACATGTGAATTCTCCATATGCTAACATGAATTAGATATTTGAATCCTCATATTTAACCACATTACATCAAATTTAAAAACATATCAACTCAAAAATTCAGCCCACATTTAAATTGAACTCAAAAATTTTATCCAAACGACATGTGAATTGACCATAAATCAATTCAATAGTTCACTGTCAGTAAAAGATAAAAAAACTCCCATCATATGCATTTAAATTATTGTACTTACAAATCAAATAATTAAGTATTTGAGAAAACTTAATCACATAACAAACATAACTCCTTATTCATCCAAAATTGAATCAATGACCAGGTAAAAAGTATTAAAATGTATAGATAAATGAAAAGGCTTATAAATAGAAAGGAAAACACCAAATAAAAAGGGGAATAACTAAAGAAAAAATTCTAGATTTTTCTCAAACCAAAAAATTCTACGCATCATTACATGGAAAATGCTTGAAAATCTCTCTTTTTTTTCTTTTTTTTTTTTGAAATTTGAATATGATCGCTTATTAAATTGAAACCCTTTGTATTAATTTTTTCCCCTCAACATCAAATTGCAACCAATCGTAACACAAATACAGCACAAATTATTCAAAACATTTAAATCTAAAAAAATTAAAATGATATTTACCTCAATTTGAAGTTGGAGCCAAATATGAATTGTCGGATATTGAACTTGAAATGTATTCCGATTAGGTGTGGGTTGTCGATCGTGAGATGGAGAAGTGGTTATTGTAGGATGTAAATTCTTTAAATTCTTCTTCACTATTTTACGTGAAAATAGGTTTTGAAAATGCAATTGCAAAATGGGGTTACGTACAATATTGGAGAATGGGTTTAAAAAGTGGTGGTGAGTGGTTTGATGTGATATTTTTGCACTTTTTGTATTACTTTTTCATCTAATAAAATCAGCTTTAATTAAGGATATACAAGGTATTTAAATTTTTTAGAAGGATAAAAAAAGTCCAAAAGTGACATTCTTGCAAAAAAGCATTAACATGTAACATTTTTTAAAATGTCAATCTAAAAAGTGACATTGGGTGCAATTTCCTCTTGTTAAATGATGAATGATATAATGAGTACTGGTGCTCAATTTATACTAAACACTGATAATGTGTCATATTAATTCATTGGTAGGTAAAAATTTTAATTCAAATTTTGGGACCCATAAAATCTTTATCCAATAATAAATTAATATAACACATTACCGGTGGTTAGTATAAAATTAAATTTACTTAAATAAACATATATATAATTAAATAAAAATATATTCATCACTAATATTTATTTTAGTTTAAAAAAATTGGATCTTTTATCTTTTTTTAGAATTTGTGTTTAACTAAAATTCTAATAATCATTAAATGTATTCAACTAAAGTTAAAACAATAATGGAAGAGACAGCATTAGAGCAAATACATACAGACATGGCAATATATATAAAGAAGATTTTGAAAATTTGAGATTACCTTTTATTGTGCATTTATGAATTTAATATGTGAATGATTTTTAAAAGGTTAAACCCTAACCTTAAGGGTCCCCCACCACTCCTGCTCTGGAGCATCGTGAGGGAGGTAAATCGCAGGTTATGTCTCCAAGGGTACAGGATGGAAGGTTGCTTGTACACTTGCACTTACCCAAGAGCCAAATCCATATTTTAGGATTCGAACCCTTGACGCAGCAGCCTCAAGCAAAGCTGGATTTCTCCACCCTCCTCTTTTACCACTTGGAAATGTGCCCTGGGGGCAATATGTGAATGATTTTTGATTTGTGTTTAGGTTGTTTGATAAGCTATCATATGGGTCGTGTCTTATAAAAATAGAGTGGCAAGACACTTCAATAACAAGGCCAAGTCTAGCAGATTTATTACAAGTAGTTTGTCCTATCTTACTAAGCGGTTTGTTTTGCTCCTTTTATTAAGTTTACTTTTGTTGGACTTGCATGCACTGCGTACTTTTACTTTTCAGTTGGTAGGGCCTATGTGCCCATATTTTTTTTAAAGTGTGAATAGTTTTTTTATTAGTAGTTGAGATGATCTCATCCCAATAAATTTTAGTTTTTTCTATTATAAATGATACATAAGCCTTGTCATGAGCAAGCACCCTAAGTCTTGTCCCGTGTAAGTATCTTGCAGTCCTGTCCTTGTAATAAGATCAAAGTCTTGTCTCGTGCAAGCATTTTACAGCCATACACGTGTAAGGAACTCAAAGCTTTGACTCATACAATCAGCTTAAAGCCTTGTCCCGTGAAACTCACGGATTTTTTTTTCCTGGGCCCCACTCTTGACCTCCAACTAAGATATATAGTTACCTCGACGATCGACCTTCGCCTTCAGCTCGGCCATTTTAAAAGATTCACTCATTCTTGTAGTGATAGGTCTCGAGCAATGCTTAATGCCTGCAAGAGTGAAGCAAGTACCTTGACTAGAGTTCGGGATTATAAGTTCAACATTATATCAAATGAAAAGGCTCGAACTTACCTTTAAGTTCATGGTCTCCAGGGCTTTAACCCCTTCCTCAAAATCGAGCTCATCTCCCCAATATTTCTTGATGAGCTTCAGCATAAGCGAATACTTTTCATGGATGCACGGGGGCCACTAATATTGCTATAAGTTGTCAAACCCAAAAACTAATATTGGCTAGTCCCATAAAAAATCCACCTAAAATCTTCGGGTTCGAAGGCTCAATAAGAAGACTGAGGACCATGATCAACCATTTTGGAGAAAACAAATGGTCATCCTTGCATTACATCATTGGGCAGGGAATAACCCCATGATTTAGATCTCCTTGGGCAGCTACCTAGCTTTCTTGCAATTCTTAACCCATTAGGATTCTCAATGAGATAATACTCATCTCATTATGATAATGTTGGATCTTATTATATCTACTTTGTCCTATCATGGTGAAATTGTATCACCAGAGTTTCATCCTCATCTAAACATCAATGGTTCAAAATTAATCAAATGGCAACTCCTCAACATATTAAGACTCCCAAACACCAATGACTCTTAAAATCAGATAAGGGTGCCCAACTAGTTTAAACCTACTAGGAGTGTGCTACCCACTTCTATAAATATAGGATCTCAATTCATTATTTAAGTACGCTTTTACATAATTTTTAGTTTATAGCTTCACGCATAAATTCTCTCTCTAACCTAAGCATTGAAGGAACGACAAGGATATACCTCGACGTCTTTGTTTCAGGTGATGAGAGATTCTGTCATACTCATTCTCAATCATTAAGCTCGAAAATCAACATGTACGATTTTTTGTAACAACAATAAGTACTAATATTCTTTTTTTAAATGTCATCATGTATTTATATACAAATATTTGATGATACAGATGTTTACAAGTAAAAAGGCTTTGGTTGATTGGTTGAAACTACTAATAAGAGACATAACATTATTGTTGTGATGAAAAAGCCCGACTTAGGCCAAGTTAGGGAAAGCCAAGAATTGATTTCGCATGTGAAAAAAAAAGTTCATATAAGTGTAAGATACTAACAAAGAAAACGAAAAAGGGAAGAGACGTAGACGCACTAAAACAAAGAGGTGTGGATTTCTGTTCACTTTGAATGGAAGAAAATTGATAAATGATTATTATTAGGTATTGAAAGTGCAATGTGGGAGATATACTCGTGATATTGCCCAGAACCTTGAACGGCATTCATATGTCAGGAGACTAACGGAGAAAGAAACTTCAATTTTAGTAAACATGTCAAATAATCACTTGAGACCAAATGAAATATTATACGCATTGAAACAAAATGATAAAACTAATGTTAGCATATTGAGGCTCGTCTACAATGTACATCAGAAGCTTAGGCTTTAAGAACAAGTTGGAAGGGCACAAATACAACAACAAATAAATAGGCTTGTTGAGAGCTACTACATAAAGTAGCACTGCACCTCTTAGAAGACAAATATAGTTAGAGATTTGTTCTATGGATGTGGAGTAAGTAGACATGTTGCGAACTTTTCCTAGTGTAATAATTACGAATTGCAAATAAGAGACAAATAGGTGTTGCCTACATTTGTTAGGTATTACTTCTATTGATTTAACATTTTCGATTACTTTTAAATACTTGGAAAAAGAATGTGTGGAAGATTACACATGAGCTTTGGGGAGATTGAAGAGTCTAATAGATGATATAATAATGTATAGTATTATTGTTACTAATAGAAAGCTGAAGGTCCTTGAAATATTATTTTCAACATTAATTAATATTTTATGTAGATAGTATATTTCAAAGAATGTGTTGGCAAAAACAAAAATAAAAAACATTTTGAAGACAACGACCAATGGGATTTCCTTACGTATATGTGGAATTTGTTAGTGCTATCAAATCTATAGCAGAGTACAAGCAACATCTAAGGCCGTGGTTGGTTGGCCATTTTCGGCCCATTTTCCTTTTTTCGTTTTCGAAAATGCGAAAAACGCGTTTGGTTCGTCGTTTTCGAAAACGCATTTTCGAAAACAAGTTAAAATTTATAACTGAAAACGCAAAACGACTTTTTATCGTTTTCATCGTTTTCAGTTATAAATGTCGAAAACGCTCAAAACGCGGAAAGCAGACCATTTTCAAGGAAAACTAAAAATCGCTTTGAAAATGAAAATGGAAAATGAAAACGCAAACCAACCACTACCTAAATCTCTTGGAATTCAATTTCTGTAAGTTTTCACAAGATACTCATGAACCTCAAGATCGAGCACCAAGCCCGACCACATGGCCTCAAGGATGTTCTTGTTGAATATTTATGAAATTTAAATCTTATAAACTTTACATGATTACCAAGATCTCTGTCAATTCACTAAGAAAAATAATTAATGTGGAGTATACCTTGATTTATTATCTTAAATTATGATCTTTGAATCTTGTCTTTCGGATCTTTAATCTTGATTCTTGATTATGGATTCTTGAATTCTTTTTCTTGATTTTGAATTCTTTTATCCGGGTTTTGGATCTTTCTCTTCAATATGTTTTCTTTACTAATTCTTGTGTTGATGGAATGACACAAAAAATGAGAAATTGCATATTAATTGGGGATTGTAACCATATATATAGTTTTTATATGTATTTCGCCCATCACAAAGCACAATTTTTAAGAAACTGGTCACTACAAATATAATCCGGCTTACACTTTATTTAGATGTCCATAATCCATTATTTAATTCTTTATTAGATCAATTTAATTTCGGACTTAACTTTAAGATAGTCATTATACACAATTAATTAAATATGTTGGCCCATGTAGCAAATTAAATAATATTCCAACAATATCCTTCTTGGGCCACATATGTTATCTTATAAATGTGTATAACCTTATGAGTTTAAAAACCTTTGCTATTATAACCAAAAGTATCTCCAAATAATCATGTCCATCAATTATGTCAATAAAGGATCAAAGCAGTCGTCATTACAAGTATCTTAACTAAACCATCAATGGTCACTTATATCAATACAATCAAATAACATAGATAAAATATGGATGTGTATTATGGAAATTACATGTAATGTGATTTAAACATACATATTTCCAACTGGTCCAATCTTATTCTTTAACACGTTATACTTAAATAAGATCAAACAAAAAACTTTAATCAGAGTGAAAATTAAAATGACTACTTTATTACTGAAATAAACTTAAATGTGTACAAACAAAAGCACGCGTCCAAAAAAGCAACATCCAAAATTATAAACTCCCATTAACCTAGTATATCATCAAAATCTAAAAGACTCATGTGAGCAGTGTACTAATGAAAGACTTTGGGTGTTAATTCTTTAGTAAATGGGTCTGCTATCATGGAGTTTGTCCCAATATATTGTATAGCAACTTGACCACTCAGAAGTCTTTCTTCA